AACAAGCAAAAAAAAGTTCAAAGTTTTCTCTTTAAGATGCTTTTATCAATTTTTAGACACAGATAAGCTTTTTATGTAAAAACTTAAGTGAAAGATAAAGTTGAAAACTGAGACAATTACCTGTTTCTATTCAACTCGATCTATTCTGATCAAACAGAGAGAGAAACCCTATGATATTAACGTAATTTTACACTTTAGAGTAATCTACTGATTTTAACGAGACTTATACAAAACAGTTGCGACATTTTAAAACTAATGTCCTTCATGTTACGATTTTGGGCAAGACGACATTTGTTGATTTGAATTTAATCTTATACTTTGAACTTTTTTTGCTTGTTTAAAAAATGCTGTACGTCACTCCGTTCGTCTTTTATGAGCAGTCAAAGTCAAAGGGACCATTTTTACTTCAATATTGAATAACTCGATAAAAAAAAATCGTACAGAGGTAAAAAAAAAGTAAATTGAAGGTAAAAGATCACGCTTTCGAAAGCTGTGAATTTTATTTGTGCCCGACTTCTCATTCACGGCAAGAAACTGTGCAAAGTTTACAAAAAATTTTGAGATTTTACGGATCTTCCTTTATAATCATGTAGTTCCGTAAAAATCAGCCGAATCGTTATTTCATTATACAGATTTGGAAAGTAGAAATTTCAAGCTACAAAATGCTTTTTTTAAAATCTCATTTTGACCATTTTTGTAGAAGTTACACTTCTTTGAAGTTTACCCATTTTTCGAAGGTGTGAGAGGTGATGCTTTAATTTATGCGCGTAGTGTATTTTCGATTTTTCGACTATGATTGCCCAAAAAAAAAATTATATAAAATAAGTCCATTTATATACAATTACATTAAATTATATGACGATATAATAATTTGAATGTTTGCATGAGCGATGTTTTATATGAATTTCTACAACTTACAAGCGTAAATAATTTCTCCAAAAATCTCAAATTTTTTTCGCAAAACACGTATCTCATATTTTTATCTGTAGAACACATCAGCAAATTAAAAAAAAATTAAAAATGACGATGTTTCATAAGTGCCCAATTTGACATGGAATGTCTCAAGTGCAGTTTGTTCCATCATAAGGGATTGATTATGTATCTTTAAATGAAGTGAAAATTAGAAAAGTGAGAATTAGAATTCACCAGATGTTGATCAATGAAATTACAAATATGCTAATAAATTTGATTGTTTTTGTAATTTTCACCTCATTTCTAAATATACAATCGACCTACAGATATGCCTGAGGCCAGATGCGAACTGTATTTCCTTTGTGGTTATTGGTGGAAGGTTTTATCAAGCCATTGAAGGATTTTCATGCATGCGCGGAAGATTTTTCAGTGATGAAACCTGATGAAATAACATTGTAGTCGCCTTTGACATATGTTCTGTGGGCGTCGCCCGGAGTCGTCCGGTTTATATTAGGTGCGCAACTAAGTTCTCGCTGTTATTTTGATGAAAATGCAACTTGATTGTGAAAAAATGGTTACAAATGAATCATTGAAAGTATTGCCCATCGCTAGCTACTACTTTTTCCCATCTTTCTGGCAGAGCTCGAATATCGTTACGGTAAAACTTGCAGATAGGTTTTAACGGGTTTTGCAACGTGAGGCCGAGCGTTGTCATGCTGTAGAATCACTTTTTCGTGCCTCTGAATTTGCTCCTTGCTTCTGAA